GGATTTTTTGTTTTAATTTATGGTGGGATCATTTTTGCAGTCATTTAAGCTAGAATCTGATTTTTCAACCTCTGTAAATAAATTCGGTCCTCCTTTCTTGGGGATCTGTTAAATATCTGGATATTATCAAAGATCCTCTAACAATGTTAGTTCCAGCATTTTCACATCCGCTGTGTACTTTCAACTGTCTATTCTGATGTGCATTTTAGGGTCCTGCTGGTCCCCTGCTTCTGCAGTCCTGGGCAAGTCACCCAAACATTTTTAGCTTTATTGATTTCTTAATCTTAAAATAGGGAAAGTAATAGTATCTGCCTGCAAATTTGCTACAAAAACTCTTCAACGTTTTAAAAAGCAAAGATGTCACTTTGATGATTAAAGTGCACCTGACCTAAGCCATGGCCTTTTTAATTGTCTTATGTTCATGTAAAAGCTGGACAATGAAAGGGTAGACCAAAAAAAAAAAAAGAAAAAAGAATTGATGCCTTTGAATTGCGGTGAGGAATAATTAATATACCATAAACTGCTAGAAAAGTGAGCAGATATGAAGAGGGGGCTTCAAATGTTTGTACAAAAACTCTATGATATTTTTACTCCTTTTTTCCAAGAACTTTTTGAAGCCTCCTTGTAAGTTTTGGAAGATGTGTAGCCAGAGTGTTCCTTAAAAGTAAGGACATGTGACTATTGTCTATAAATTCTGTGTGACCACAGCAAGGGATTATCAAACTCAGCAAAAATTAGAGTGCCCAGGGATGGTGGGTGTCAGAATAGGCTGAACAAGGTTGTAGGAGGGAGGCATTCTGGCCTCTGAGTCACAGGAATTGACCTTGGACTAGTAGTTCTCCTCCTCCCCCTTATCATGCTAGAAGAGGTCAGGTACAGCCTTCATGTCATTTTTGCACCATCTTTGTATTCAAAAACTCCCACATTTGGCCTGTTCACTTATTTGTGTTTTTAATATTCCATTCCATTACCTCTCTAATTATGTCATTCTACTTCCCATTGGTCCCTTCTGTTATAGTGTT